AGAAGGTAGCAATGGTTGGTGCGATCACTCCAACCATAACACCCGACCCCGTCGTAAGCAATAGCTACCGATAAACGCACAAAAATTGCACAGAATTTGCATTATATTCTGCATATTTGGCCCCTTATAACACATACAGACACTTATGGATTAGAGACAATCTCTTATCTGATCCCCACTCCGATGATGGGGCGAAAGGCTTTCTGTTGTGTTTGCCGAGTGGTTCCCAAAGACCTATTACCTGAATGTGACACTAATGATGATCGAAACCACCAGAATTGTCATCAAAAAAATATTTCCTAAATAATGATAAAAATAAAAATCATCCGACATATGAAATTGTATCTCATTTTTTGCGCATAAAAGTTTGCCCAAACGACTGATTAGTTTACAGTGGGTTTAATGTCACTGAAAGTCGAGAGAGAGAGAGAGAGAGAGAGAGAGAGAGAGAGAGAGAGAGCACAATTATTTCATTAATGCATTTAACGCGTTATCACAGAATTAATTAACAATATTATTACGAGATTTAAAATTATAACAATTAATTGAAAACTTGTAAATTATTTTTTTTGAATTTATTAAACACTTTAATTAATTTGATTTTACTTTAGTTAAGAAAATAAGAGAGAGAGAGAGAGAGAGAGAGAGAGGTATAGAAAGGGAAAGTATTAACTTTTAGTGACCAGATATCCAGATATAAGCACAGATTGAGCGATGGATGAGAGGGTGAAAAGCGTTTGAGGCGTTTATAATATCGGTGTACGTATACTGAAGTGCTTGACAGTCGCGAACATCACTATACAACTGGCCATTTGAACACATGATATATTGGCCTCAACTGCACTCATATATACCCCCAAATAACCACTCAAATCCCTATCCGCTCCATTAGTTTCGCTGATATATGCTTTAAATTGTGTCGTTGATAGCAATGGCTATTTAACTGTATTGTTGGACTGTTATAACCCTATCCATAAAGAGTGAGGGCATATATATACAGATATAGATGGATATATTTAGCGCAATAACACACAAACACACGCCAGAGAGTGACCAACAGATGGACAAAAGCTTTGAGAGCCATTAATGACATGCGAGCCCTTCGTTATGGCAGTCATTGCAGTTTAAATGGTGCGCTCAATGGGACGCGTGCTTACGGCGAGGATTAAACGCCAATTTTGTTACACAAACTCCTAATCATATGCCGTATCGACCGAATCAGTGCCACCAACCCATCCATATGTCGTCCTTTTCTGCCCAAATTGAACCCCACATACGTATAAAGGAGTCATATATTAGACAATTGTTGTGCATATTTTTTTCGCTGCCTATTCTTCGCCGTTAAGCACTGGAAAATTGCCAGAATTAGACACATTTATATAATGTCTATAAGTTGTGTATACACTGTGTGTGACTCTGTAATGATATGATCGGCTAAATCACAATATATCTACAATGTATTCACTATTGGTGTGAAAAAATAAAAGAGAGAGAGAGAGAGAGAACAAATTATGATGATTATTCTCATTGCATATGACTTACTAATAGCCGTATGAATAGTTAAAAATGCTTTCTCTCCCTTCAAAGCCCTCACAATCCTTATCTAATCTCCTAACGAATTCATCGTATATTTTAAATACACTTTTTGAATATGAATTTCAATTATGTTGAGAACATTTCATGTATTCTATAATGAATTTACAAAATAACAATCATTTTTCCATTAAACTCTTAAAACAAGTTTTTAATTAATTGTTATAATTTTAAATCTCGTAATAATATTGTTAATTAATTCTGTGATAACGTGTTAAATGCATTAATGAAATAATTATGCTCTCTCTCTCTCTCTCTCTCTCTCTCTCTAACAAGTTTTTAATTAATTGTTATAATTTTAAATCTCGTAATAATATTGTTAATTAATTCTGTGATAACGTGTTAAATGCATTAATGAAATAATTATGCTCCTCTCTCTCTCTCTCTCTCTCTCTCTTATTTTCTTAACTAAAGTAAAATCAAATTAATTAAAGTGTTTAATAAATTCAAAAAAAATAATTTAAATTCCTGTAACTCTATTGGTCGACGAAAACAAAAGCCATCAATATTTTATGTAATCATTTCTATTACTATTTACTTATTATTAGTTACTTTTCCAGACTATTACTGTATTGAGAGATATTTCAAACAATTTATGGAAACATTAAATTTTAAATTCGTCGCCTAAACCACAAAAATTCCTGAATTGATTCTTCAAGTAATAACTCTCTCTCTCTCTCTCTCTCTCTCAATCTAATCGACAAATAACCTCTTATTTACTCCCAAAATAAAACTTGGAAAAACAAAAATCTAAACTTAGATATCTGTCCATTTCTTTTGCCAATGAGTTTCAATCATTTTGAACGCCAAGTGATATGATATCCAAAATAAAAACGCTTTTCATTAATTTAATTTCATTTTTACTATACGTTTATATCTCTCATCCTTTCATCTAATATACCATTTAATGGTTGAAGAGTTGTCTGAAGACTCTCTAATGTTGCATAACTTGTGATTAATCGCATCTCCTATTTATGTCTTGAGTTATTATACATATCTATAACTGTGTTGGCATTAGTGGCCGAGAGAGAGAGAGAGAGAGAGAGAGAGAGAGAGAACTAGTTGAAAATTATATATAGCACTCACTCTTCAGCCAGTAATTGCTTTCCATATAATGATTGCCATAAATATGATTACCAAACGAACGGAGAGAAGAAACTCCAGTTATGAATAGATATTTATAAATAACAATCATATCTATAGTTAATGTGCAAAAAATAAAGTGTTTTTGGCATTTATTTATTAATAGAGTGAAATATTTTGTTATTTATTTTATGAAATATTTATTAAATTATGATTATTTTGCGCCACTATTTAGGTTGACGTTCGCATACATATACAGCAATACATACTGAATATACGGTACGGAACGGCTGTAGATCGGGAGCGGCACCGGGTGTTAAGGCACGCCAAAAAGCACGCCATTGGCCAGCGATGGGCTCTCGAGAAGGAACTGGTGGTCAAGAATCGGGAATCGGTTCACAAGTGGTCAGAATCGGAGAAAGAGCTGCTGTTGAACACCGGGTCAGTGGCCGGACTCAAAGGCGACTACTATCACGATCCGGCACTCTATCCCGCTCTGGCCGACGACCCCTTGAATATTATTTTTTACAAACAAAATACTAAATTAAAGCCAACACAACACGAATCGTGATAATTATGATATAATAGGGTTATTACTATTGTAATTGGCATTTGTTGGATGACTTCAGATTATATTCACGACCTTAATGTACAGAACGCTTATATATAATAAATTTTTTTCCAATTATATAATAATTAAAACAGACCATGGACGATTTCTCACCTTGATCTCATGCTTTCTCACCACCATCTCTGTGTACAATAAACATTTTTCATCACAATTATCAAGATCATTTTCAAAGCAAACACTATATTATCGTTAATATGGAAAGCAATTAATATGTGTTTCTGTTTTATTATTGAATATACAATTCTGTATGAAATTCTTTGAATGTATGAAACAAATCAGATATAAATATATTATATAATAATTGTTTGATTAAAATATTTGAATGAATGGACCGAAGAAATGATGTTTTTTATAAAAACTATTTATTTAATATACAAATAATTTTTTCAGTGTATTCTAACATGTATTACGAATTTCCCAACTTTTTTACATATTATTTAATTATTTATAATTATTTATTAAATTTCAATATAAATGTACAGAATATTTGTTATATAAAAAGTATTATAAAAAGAGATGAATAAATAAATTAAATATTGAATTTAAAATCAAAACAACATTTACTTTAAATCTAATTATCAAAAAGAAAAATTGGGAGAAATTGTGAAAATATTTGGTAAAACACGACCAGAAAAATGGGACTAAAAGTTGTGTATTAAGACATAAATGAGAGCCACGAGATAGTAGAAGAATGTGGTCACATAGAAGGCCAATCTGATCCACGCCTCCCGATTGGTCAGCCACTGTTGTTTGGCGTACATGATAGTGGTCGGGTCGTACACTCCCGGATCAGTCATCAGCGGTCTATTACGGTATCGCTGGATGTGATACACGACAAGCGGGATGTTTATCAACAGCGAAAACCTGTTAAACAAATGCATGTCTCGTATTAGCGCTTAAAAAGTGTGGCAAAGACTTAGCCGTCAGACCATTGGCCAGAGATGAGGAACAGAGCGGTGATCACCGAATGGATCAGATATTCGGGCAAAACCAGTGGATTGAGTTGTTTGCAGAGATCGATGGGATTCCTGTAGTCACTCCTCAGCTCATCAAACGATATGATTTGAAACAACGCGAAGAATATGAGGAATGCGTCCAAAAGTATACCACAAGAATACGATACTATCGTCAATACCACTGACATCTCGATGTCTTATGTCTTTCGCACTGATAATCGGTTTAAATTGGATTTTTGAATATGTTTTTCCAATTATAGTTATCATGAGATTTACTAATTATACTATTATTGCAATTAATAGTTAGTAACTATTGAAACACTTACCAAAAACTTTGAGCAAAACAACAGCAAAAAAGTTAATAAACTATTTTACAGTAATTTTGTTATAAAATTAAATACAACTTATATTTAATATAAATTATAACCAAAATTAAAACCATGCTCAACTAAATCAATCGCAACCAATCAAACCATTATTACAACACTGGTTACAGTTTGCAGTCAAACCCAAACTACACCCAAAAAAGGGGGCGCAAAAATGTACTCAAAAAAATGTAACAGACTTTTCGAACGGACTAAACGGTAAAACCCACGGGTTTTTGCCGACCCTTAACACAGCGTCACGTGATATGCGAACCAAAACACCTGTTATTGTGAAACAACACTAAACCACAGATCACTTGATTGTCCGCCACGTGTGTTGTCTTTGGTCACCGACTTCTTGGACTCAAAGCAATGGCCGAAGCGATGGAAGCGATGGAAACCGATCCACAGTTGACCCACGAGTTGAGTGCGGAACTGATGACTGAGTTGTCACGTGTCTACCGATACATCCGCTTCGGCACAGAGACCTCAGCGGTGGACAGTTGTCGACACCTGTCGGTCAACAGTCTGGTCCGTATGGACGCCGATCGTCACCGACTGGAAGTACCGAAGAAGAAGTTGTCGTTGAAGAGCGTTGAAAACGTATGGAAGCGTTTCGCCGACGCCGACAACAGCGACGACAATCAACGGCTGGCGAAGAGTGTCTGCGAACGGATCCAACAGATGGTCGACGAGTACGGCCGCCAATCGGGACAACAATACGCGCATCGCTTACCACTGCTGATGGTGTCGCTGTTCGCGTGCCAGAAGTCGGCTACTGTTCAGTCGCCGTTTCGGGCGTTGGCCGTCAGTCTCTTTGATCAACAGTATGTCCACCCGTTGGATGTCCTGCTGTTCGCCGCTATGATTGGTTTCAAGCGATTGAATTCAAACAATCAGTTGCGCCACTGTTTCCGACTCTACTATCGACGGCCCGTCACCGACAAAGACATCGAATTGAATTTGACATTTGGCCGCAAATTCGGTACATTTTAATGATAATTGTTTTACCAATGAATTGCCAATTGTCTTGTTTTTTTGCCAAAGAGTGGTCACAACGGGATATAATTAGATTATGTCACCCGAAGATCACTCCAATGACCGAAGCGCTCATGAAGTATAAGAACAAGAAGTTTGCTGTTCGTAAAGACGGCGACAGAAAGCGTAAGTCAGCGCCCGATACAAAAGCGGATCCAACGACCCCCACCTCTGACTCCGTCCAGACGTCGCCCAAACGCTTCAAGTGTGAGTCGGGCGGTGCCGGAGACACAGCACCGGAGCCGAGCGCACCGACTGATGGCCCCAATGTGGCCGCAATCGAGACTCGTATTCAGGCATTTCGGTCGGCGAAGGCGACCAAAGTGTACGATATAATGCCCGCATTGGACGCAACACTACTCGATCCAAGCGATTGGTTTCAGGCGTTGAACACCGTTTGGTCCAATGAACCGCTCGTTTGGCATAAACTGATTGGACGTTTGGCACACGTGGCCGACGGCGACTCACTGTTAAGACTCGTTCCGGTAGTGTTCAGCCGATTCCCGAACAACGATCGCCTGTTCCGCGAATTGGTGACCGCTTTGCGCCGAAATGGACACAAATGTAGCGCCAATTTTGTCAAACATTTGGTGTTGTTTTACTGCGAGAAGAATGTGTTGAATTTAACGACACAATTGCTGCCAGAATTGGCTAAAGACGTGTTGAAACTGTCGATTCCGTATCGATTGGACGAACCGATTCTCATAGTCTTTGACAAGGGTTTGGATTTGAAAGAGAAATACCTGTCAAACCTGTCGGACAAGCATCGACTCAAACAGGATCTCATGGAGTCCATGGCAGTCAATGACTTCGTATGGATTTTGTTGCAATCGTTCCGCTGTTTTGCGTCCATCGATGGCCGCATCGAAAGCTTGCAGTTTGTGGACACAAACGCTAATACTGTCGAGCGTTTCGATCAATTGGTCTCCCGTTTCGATGGACTGTCCGATGAGT